AACCCTGGGTTTAGCAGGCCAATGCTCAAACCACTGAGCTATCCCTCCTCCCGTGTGGGGATTGGTGCTGGTCACTAAAAGCTCCAGCGAGAGCAGTGACGTGCCTCCGTCTGAAACCGGGAGTAGTTACTGCATACTGCAGAACTCTTAGTGCGCGGTGCCAGCGTCCCTACGGGACAGTACTGCAGGGCCACGCTGTGCAGTCCGGCTTTCTCCGCAGTAACGGCTCGGGCAGACAAGGCCCAAGTACGTGGGGTGGTAGCTGTAGAGACTCTGATGGGAGCCCTGCTCATTCTTTTTTTTTAATGCCCCTTTCAGGACAAGAAGGACTTTGTTTTGAAGCGAGTGAAACGGCTGCTGAAAGCTGGTGTCATTTCAGCCCTGGCCTGTATGGTGAAGGCTGATAGTGCCATCTTAACGGACCAGACCAAGGAGCTGCTAGCCAGGTAGATCTGCCTCACTCAAACACACCTATTTAGTACTGAGTCTGCGTAGGGCAGCTGTTTGGGTAATTACTGTAGATGGTCTTACCCAAGAAAACCTTCACTTAAAACCTAACGTGGGGGGTCCACTGCATTTTACAGCTCCGTTCAAAGCCCAAGCGGCTTAAACCCCCAAGTCCCAGAATAAACTGGGTTTGGTTTCAAATGTATTAACCACTGAGCCACATAAATTGCGCTTTGCGCGAAGAGCTTTAACTTTATGTCGAAAGAAAACTGTATGCTGTGGATTCACAGCAAGGAGCTCCGCTAATAAAAGCTAACGGTGGCAGCAGAGGAAAATGAGTTTTTTACAAACATCTAAATGTTGGTCCTGAAACTCATTGCCAATCTATCACTAGGCTGCAGTTTGAATTGCTAATCTTACAAAACTTTAGACAAATCTAATGGAACGGGGAGGAATTGAAGGGGATCAAAGCTGTTACAGTTTTCTAATTTATGGTGATAGAATCATAGAATCTCAGGGTTGGAAGGGACCTCAGGAGGTATCTAGTCCAACCCCCTGCTCAAAGCAGGAGCAACCCCAACTAAATCATCCCAGCCAGGGCTTTGTCAAGCCAGGCCTTAAAAACCTCTAAGGAAGGAGATTCCACCACCTCCCTACGTAACACATTCCAGTGCTTCACCACCCTCCTAGTGAAAGTTTTTCCTAAGTGGTGTTGCACTATATTAAAACTTCGGTATTACTGGTGAGTATACCTGCTGAATTTAGTACTATTCACTGAACATCAGCCACTCGCATCATACCAGAGTGAACAGGTGGGATGGAGTCTCTTTGCAGATCGGTTTAACTGAGCAATGCTGGTTTTTTGCAGGGTATTCCTTGCCTTGTGTGAGGATCCCAAAGACCGTGGTACCATTGTAGCTCAAGGTGGTGGAAAGGTAACTCGTTATCATTACACCTTTAGAATATTCTGAAACTCACAGTTAGCAATATTCAGCCACTCCAAGCCATCTGGGTTTGCATATGTGGGGAACTGTCGTCATTTAACACAAGCCATGGGGTGCCTAAACTAATTATACACATTGTTAATGATCTAAAACCTTAACCCCTTGATAAAAGGAAAGTGGACAGCCTGGTTATGGTTTTTAACTTGAGCAAGCAGGAAAACTAAATTCTTCTTGGAGTGATTGCACGTGTCTGTTCCACTGTAGGTGTCGGTGCGCTCCAGTGCACAGCTGTCGGAGAGTTTGTCCCTCACACCAGTGGTGCTCTTGGACCTCTTAACGAGTCCGCCCCCCCCCCATCACTTCCGCTTCTCACACAGAATCGCGGCTGCCTCCTCCACCCCAATCTTCAGGCCCTTCTCCTGGTGGCCTGGAGGCTTTGTAGTGAACGTCGGCAAAGGAGTCCTGCTCTAGAGAAGTTCAGGACGTGATGCTGAATAATAGGAAACGACCAACTGGAAGTATTTACCTGGCTGAATAGAAGAGATTTTCCATCTGGACCAAACTGAAAGGGATTTTCCCTGTTCTTGCTTCTATTCAGCACATGCTGGACTCTCTTCTGCCCTTGAAACAACCAGCACTGGCGATTAGCCTATCAGAATATACCTAAGGTTTATATCAGGATTGCGCCCACATGTGGAGAACTGTTCTGTCTGTTCCAACACGATGACCGTAAGATTTTTAAAGGGATTGGACAGACTGTTCCTGCAGGTACAGAGCCCTATTCCACCATGGAGCCTTCGTCTAGTCTTAACAAACCTGATGAGTCTCCCCACCACCTCGAGCCCTAGTGACTTGCTCTGTCGCACCTTTTGATGAAGGTAACGTTTTTAGTAGCCATTCCATCAGCCAGGAGAGTGGAGGAGTTGAGGGCTCTAATATCTGATCCTCCATATGTGGATTTCTAGGCAGACAAAGTCTACCTTTGTCCTCATCCAAGTTTTCTTACAAAAGTGGTCTCCACTTTTCCTATTAACTAAGCAATTTTCTTACTGACCTTCTTCCCAAAACCTCATGGTAATAAAGGGAAGGAGAGATGTCATGCTTTGGATGTTAGAGCTTTAGTGTTTTACCTGGAATGGACTAAACCTTTCAGGTCTTCCTCTCCACTGTTCATTGCGTTTGCGGACAGAATGAAGGGCACTGCTGTTTCCATGCAAAGGATTTCGTCATGGATACGCAATTGTATTCAACTGTGTAACCAGTTGGCTACCAGAAGCCACCAAATAGTGTTCAGTCATTCAACTAGGTCCCAGTGACCTCTGCAGCTTTTCTGGCTAGCACGTCCATATTGAACGTTTGCAAAGCGGCAACTGATCATCATGTCATGCATCAGCGTGGCGCAAGAGACAATTTCATCCAAATTTAGCATTGTCTCTAAATTGGAGAGTGGTCTTCCAGTCCCTGTTCAAACAGACTCCAAACCCACCTCCAGATGGGACTGCCTGTGAGTCACCTACAGTGGAATGGGACACGTGCAGTCACTCGAAAAACTAACTGGTGTTCAAGATGTGTTGCACATGTCCATTTCACAACCCGCCCTCCTTCCCTCTCTGAGTCTTTCCGGTAGGAAGGAACTGAGGGGCTTCGGGGCAGCTCAGCCCTTTATGCCTGTGTGCAAGGCAGCAGAGGGCACTTGGGCCACCCCGACAGGAGTGCACAAACACCTACAGTGGAATGCACATGTGCAACACAACTTGACAAACAAAGTTATGGAAAGGTTAGTAACTGTTGTTTTTTACAAGACCAGCCTTTTCCCCAATATTTTAAATATATACATACATACCCTCCCCAAACAAACAGAAGTGAACCAGGATTCAAATATCTGCCCTACCTAGCTGCCTCGCTTAGTGCACTACTAGCAGATTTGCTGAATGAGATGGGGCTTTTGTTTTCTTGCGTCCTCTTAAGAGATGACATTTCCTAAAGCGATGCTTGATGGGGTCCAATCACAGGTTGAGCAGGTTAGCATTCGCCGATGCTGTGCTATAAACTCCAGAAGGTTGTGCCTCTACCTGGCACTTCAGTAATTATTTCCTCTAATATCTGCTGGCTCCTGCATCAGCTAGGACTCCCGTTCGACTGCGCAAGAGAAGTTGTCCTTTGAAGTGGGCTCCTGAAACACTGTCCTTTCGGTCATGCCCCAGGCAGACCACGATTGAAGCAATGAGAGTAATTGATAGCCACTGAAGTAGTCTGTGGGCATTTGACGACACAGAAGCATGAGATCTGATGTGCTCTGCAATTCAGAGTTTATTTGGACAAAACTTGACTCATCCAGAGGCTGTTCTGTAATAAGCTCGAATAAAATACAGACAATACTGTCAATCTTTTCATAAGCCTACGTTCTCTGCTGTGCATAATAGGCCCTGATACCTCTGGCAATAGAAGGCACAGATGTCGGCAAAGTGAAGGCTTCTCATGCTTTAGCCAAAATTGCTGCCATTTCCAATCCAGACATCGCATTCCCAGGAGAGAGGGTAAGTAAATGCAATTTTCCCTTGAGGTATTTTTGTGATTAAACCAACGGAAACGGACAGAGATCCAGAAACCAAAGAGTGACAATCCAATATTCCCTACTCTTAGGTGTATGAGGTGGTCCGGCCGCTGGTCAGCTTGCTGAATACAGAGAGAGACGGGCTGCAGAATTATGAGGCTCTATTAGGTCTCACTAACTTGTCTGGAAGAAGTGACAAACTCAGGTAAGTTTTTACAATGGTTTTGTCACCTTTTCCTCATACTGCCACTTAATCAGATTGTGAAATGTTTTAGAAAAGTCCAGATAAAGCAGACTCTCCTTTCAGGTTACGTCTGTATCGCTCAGGAAATGGCCCCCACAGACCAATGACTTGGTGGTGGGTTAGTGAAGTGTGTTGAAGGTTTTTTTTATTCCCCCCATTAAAATGTTTAACCTTCATCAAAAAAAATTTTTTAAAGGAAATTTGAGTTTTTGTTGAAAAGCTAAACATTTGTTTTTCTATAAAAACTGAAAAATATGAATATAATTTTTTAAAAAGTTAAATTACTCAAAGCCACTTTTCATGTGAAAATCTCGGTGACATTTTTTCACCCAACTCTAGTCAGTTCCCTCCCAGGAGCTGAATTCCTACTGTGGAACAATGCTACCCTTAAGTAGCAACATGAGACCAGCAGAGGGGAATTCTGTTTAATGTCTCACTCTAATTCTCATGGCATGGTTTGTCAGTATACCTGGGTTACCCACCACTTCAAATAGTCCTTCTCAGTTTAATAATCCCATGAGCCATCCAATCTCCAGGGAACTTTTTAAAACAGATATAGATCTTTGTGGCTCTTGGTCACCAGTGGCCAAAATTTCTAGCCCTCTGACACTCATTGGCCTACATTAAAATAATCAGTGGTCTGTTGTATTAATATAGATGGAATATATGGGTCAAAGATGTTAGCGTGACCCTGTCACTGTCCAACATTAAACCGTTTTAAACTATTTGGTATATCGAGACGTCAGCTTACTTAGTACCATGACAAACACATCAGTAAACGTTCTTTTAACCTGTTGTTAAAGATACAGAAAAGAAAGAAAAGCAGTTAAACATTTGAAATGGAAAGTATATTAAATAAGGGATTCATTTTAACACCATCCCTTGTTCCCTTTTCCTTTAGCTGAAGAGAGTTTTTTAAGGAGAAGGGGGAAAAAAACTTGTTTGACGGCCTCTAAGATGTTTGCAGTGTTGTTGTAGTCTTGCTGGTCCCAGGATATTGGTGAGACAAGATGGATGAGATAATAAGATATTGTTTCACCCGCCTTGTGTCTCTAGGATGGTAATAACTGTCCTGTGCTGGGGGGGAAGAGAAGAAGCTGGATGGGCTGGAAATGTGTCTGCTGTTAAAGTCCAATTCTACTTCCTTTAAGATCAAACAAGACAGACACACACCACAGGGAAGAGAAAAGAGCGGAACAGACAGAAAATGCAGCTTCTGTCTCTGGTGTTGGCTCTCCCTTGCAACCTCCCTGCTGGAGAAACACAGGCCTGGCACTTTGATTTTTTTCAGGTGCTTCCCAAAATTCTTGAGTAACTAGGACTTATGTAAGTCATTTTTAGACATATAATAAAAATTAAAGTAACAAGAGGTCTGGTGGCAGCTTAAAGACTAACAGATTTATTTGGGCATAAGCTTTCGTGGGTAAAAACCTCACTTCTTCGGATGCATAGAGTGAAAGTTACAGATGCAGGCATTATATACTGACACATGGAGAACAGCAGAACTAAAATTCATTTGCAAATTTCACACCATTAATCTGGGCTTGAATAGGGACTGGGAGTGGCTGGCTCATTACAGAAGCAGCTTTTCCTCTCCTGGAATTGACACCTCCTCATCCATTATTGGGAGTGGACTACATCCACCCTGATTGAATTGGCCCTGTCAACACTGGTTCTCCACTTGCAAAGTAACTCCCTGCTCTCCATGTGTCAGTATCTAATGCCTGCATCTGTAACTTTCACTCTATGCATCTGAAGAAGTGAGGTTTTTACCCACGAAAGCTTATGCCCAAATAAATCTGTTAGTCTTTAAGGTGCCACCAGACTCCTTGTTACTTTAATTTTTATTATATGTATAAAAATGACTTACATAAGTCCTAATTACTCAAGAATTTTGGGAAGCACCTGAAAAAAATATTTTCATTATCCAAGAGAGCCCTGAAAACCACTGATATATGGACATCTACATAAAACTTAAATTACTAAAAATAAACCCTGGAAAAACAGAAGCCCTAATGATAAGGAATACCCTACACTTCTCTCTCATCCTGAAGATGTCCTATCCCAGTGCCTGATCAATCAATCATTTGTCCTAATATTGGCTTGTCTTTGCATTAGCTTGCTCATTTTATTGGGAAGATGAGCAATTGCTGAGGTCCACAGTTTTAATTTTATTCTTTCAATTTGAACTCATGCAGAACTTCAGGATAGTCTCTCATAAACAGCTACAATAGTTACTTCTCCAGCTCTGCAAAAGGGACTTTGAAGTCTACCCCTACGTAGCATGGAGCATTTTTCATGAAGACACATTACATCTCTAAACACAGGGCATTAACAAGGTGTTAAGTAATCTAAAGAAAATGGGGTTCTGACGGTTTACCCAACAGCTAAAGATCATAAGATGTTACACTACTAGAACAATATGTAATCAAGATAAATCTTCTTGCATGTGACCTGAAAATGATTCCTGTTATAAGAAGGAAGGGGTAGATAAATTAAGAACTAGATAAATTAATCATAGAATATTAGGGTTGGAAGAGACCTCAGGAGGTCATCTAGTCCAACCCCCTGCTCAAAGCAGGACCAACCCCAACTAAATCATCCCAGCCAGGGCTTTGTCAAGACTGACCTTAAAAACCTCTAAGGAAGGAGATTCCACCACGTCCCTAGGGAACCCATTCCAGTGCTTCACCACCCTCCTAGTGAAAAAGTTTTTCCTAATATCCAACCTAAACCTTCCCCACTGCAACTAATGGAGAATAGGTCCATCAATGGCTATTAGCCAGGATGGGCAGGGATGGTGTCCCTAGCCTCTGTTTGCCAGAAGCTGGGAATGGGCGACAGGGGATGGATCACTTGATGATTACCTGTTCTGTTCATTCCCTCTGGGGCACCTGGCATGGGCCACTGTTGGAAGATAGAATACTGGGCTAGCTGGACCTTTGGTCTGACCCCGTATGACTATTCTTATGAAGGGATGGCTGAAAGAATGACTGTTTTTAAATTAGTGAGAAAAAGTTTCATGGCTTAGATGGAGACGGCTTATTTTTAAAGGCTTTCCCTGCCTCCTCTGCCTGCTGGCTAATATTTCATGGCTAGCACATGCTGAGACCATATCTTTTTGCTCCCCTTAATTCAGGCTGAAGATCATCAAAGAGAAAGCCCTACCAGACATCGAGAACTACATGTTTGAGAACCACGACCAACTCCGACAGGCAGCTACAGAGTGCATGTGCAACCTGGTTGTCAACAAAGAGGTAACCATTGGGTCTCTTGCAGTACAGTTGATGCACTGCTTTTTGAATGGTATCGAGAAGGTAGATTGGGAACTTCTGGTCTCCTAACATAAGAACAAGGACATTCAGTGAAACTGACAGATGTCAAATTCAGATCTCAAACTTTTTCGCTCAGCATGTAATTAGACTGTGGAACTCAATCCCTCTTTGAATCTTTCCAAGTTCCTGGCCTTCCCCATTCTGTGGCAATGGCTCTTTAGATGGGTAACAAGAATATCTAGAGCTATAATAGTTTAATGCCGAAAAATGTTCTGGAAAGGATCTAAACCATCCTGCGTTGGGGCTTAAACCAGCCTCTATTAGGGATTAAGTGGACATTCATTGGGGAGCAGGTTACCTCACATTTCCCCACTGTGGGGCTCCTTCCACCTTCCTCTGAAACATCTGGAGCTGGCCACGGTTTGAGACAGGATACCAGACTTAAATGGACCACCGGTCTGGTGCAATATGGCAATTCCTAGATACTTTAATACGTGTTTTCTATTATGTATCTATATCTGATGGTTTGTGAAACTGCTACTCCAGTGTGAATCCCATAACCCTGGCAACTCGCTCCCCATTTTTGCATTTCATTCTGTTGAGGTTCAAGAGAGATTTGTGGCCGATGGAAACGACCGACTCAAGCTGATCGTGTTACTGTGCGGCGAGGACGACGTGAAGGTCCAGAATGCAGCGGCAGGAGCCTTGGCCATGCTGACAGCAGCACACAAGAAGCTCTGCCATAAGATGACACAAGTGGTAAGAGGAAAAATCTGATGCCCTAAACCCTAAATAGTCTCAACAAATGCTCAGAGGCAGCCTGGGTATGTTGTAAAATTCTGATGAAAGGATTTTAAAGAGCTTCTACAGCGACAAACGTAAGTATTTGTGCGAAATCCTAGGGAAAGCAAATAAATTGGAGTATAAAGCTATGTATGTTTAAGCTAACTGTCTAATTTAGTGATTTCCAACCAGGAGTGATTTCCTAAAGCTGATTTGAAACTCCTGCCCCAGATTTTTCCCACGTTAGTGTTTCCTAGGACTAAAACAGCCTTTTTCATCTCATGCGTGCCCAAGAGTCTCTGGTTGGGGATTTGCGATAGCAGGGTCTGTCCCTGTACACCCACATGTCCAAAACCTAGGGTTGGTGTAACCCCAAGATCATTCCAGTTAGGCGGGGCAGGATTCCATTTTTATTTGTTTATCATTTCAGTGAATAATTTTGATGTTTGTTTTTAATGTTTTCCCCATTGTTGTTGTTTTAAATGTTGGCTGCTGTAGGAAATTGTGGGGCGGGCCGACCATTCATGCCAGTAGATGTCGAGATTCACAAAGTTAAAGCTCTCTTACAGTTAAAACACACATTGATGTCCGGCTCTTTGATTTGTGTGTTTTGACATGTGATGTTGACAAACGCTTCAGTTCTCAAGCAACATTTTTCTTTGCCTAGCTGTACAGTTTGATTACTAGCGATGGGAATATTTTTTCATCTGGGTGTGTGCAGTGAAATCAACGTTTACCAGTGTTTACTGATAACAATCTAATCCTTCCAAGCTGACCTATGATGTGTGTGTGTATATAAGGCTGGGTGGACCCACTGTACCGACAGTTCCTTCTCAACCAAGATGTTGGTTTTGTAGTTAGCTTATTTTATTTTTATGTGTTACTTCCCTGCACACCATTTGTATGTATTCTACTGGGGCTGTCCCTCCTGCTTTGGTAGTTGGGGCATCCTTGATGCGCGCGCGCACACCTATCAAGTGCCTCTTCGTTTCCTGGAGGCTTTTCTTTCTCTTTTTCAAGGCTATGCCCCAAACCCTGGGGGTTTTAAACTCTGCCTGACTTTTGTAAAAGTGGGATAACTCAACCCCTCTGAAGTCTGGAAGTGAGACTAAATTCATTAGTATAGATGAGCTGCAACAGTAAGGAATACCACAGTAAAGCCTATTTAAAAAAAAAAATCAACCCCCGCCCCCTGTGTTTCAGCTATCATTACATTGTGATGGAACCATGCAAAACTCTGACCTCTGTATGGTTGCCACGCAACAAAAACCAGGGTGCAAACCGTGGATTCGGGTTCCATTACAAAGTTGGATACAGCCCGGCCAAAGACTGGGAGGGCAGGTGCTGCTGCAGATCCGGCTGCAGGTAGCCCCAGAGCAGTTTGTGGAAGCCCTTCACTCAGCCAGCACTGCGCCTGCCCTTACCATGCAAGGGCTAAGTATTCAGAAACCAACTGTGGAAGGGAACTTAGTGCTTGGTATGCAAGCTGGAGGCTGTTCTCACTCCCAGATGACAACTTGTCTAGGAATTAAGAGACCAGTTTTCATGCACTGGAATCAACCTGTTTGCAGACTCTTTTTCCTAAATTGCTACTTTCACCCCCTTGAAAAGTGCCTTACTTAGGGGCAAGCTAACCTTGCACTTTAATGATCTCCTCTGCTGTAGAAAACCTTTTTTTAAACTCCCAGCTTTTCCTTCCTTGCAGACAACTAGGGTGACCAGACGTCCCGATTTTATAGGGACAGTCCCAACTTTTGGGTCTTTCTTATATAGGCTCCTATTACCCCCTGTCCCGATGTTTCACATTTGCTGTCTGGTCCCCCTACAGACAACCCAGTGGCTGGAAATCCTGCAGAGGCTCTGCCTACATGAAAAGCTGGAGGTGCAGCACCGTGGGCTGGTGGTTGCTTACAACCTGATCACTGCAGACCAGGAGCTGGCCAAGAAACTGGTGGAGTGTGAGATGTTGGAGATCCTGACGCTCGTTGGTAAACAGGCAGATGACTCCAAGAAACAGCATGTCATCAACGTGGCTCGTGAGTGTCTCGTGAAGTGCATGGACTATGGGCTGATCAAACCTCTCTCCCAGGCGTGAGACCCCCCAAGACAATGGCAGCCTGTCGAGGGAAGGCACATGGAAGGTCTACAAATCGACAGGCTCCCCAGAAGGAAATTCAGTTGAATTGCTGAGCACAGGGCATACTTTATTTTTATGCTTGGGGAAAATAAATTTGAGTAATTCCTAGACACTGCATCCTTTAGTGCCAGGATTCCATTGCTAGCCATGAACAAATTAAAGTTCCACCGTAAAAGAATCAATCCATGCAATGTATTCAACTGCTGGTGGTTCAGGAAGTCTCAAAAGTTTAGGGCAAGATAGAGGTTCCAAGTAGACTTCTTTGGTGGGGAAAAAAATCACATTTTATATTTCAGCAGTTCCAAGTGATGTTAAAAGAACAGAGGTGAAAGGTTGAATTGTCTCACGTCACATTCATAAACAAGTTTGTTTTGGTTTTTTGAAAATATTTGATGTTTGTATGAGTGGAATGCAAATATTTAGTGTTAGAATATTGGGTGGATTCTCCATTAATAAATTCTGTACTTTTGTTCTGTGTGGGGTTCCTTTAATGTTGCATTATCTCCATTTGTGAGTAGTGAGTAACGCCTGAGACCCTTTCTATTAAGTGCCCGTCCACTTAGCACTCTCACTGCTTTGTAGATAATCTCAGAAACATGGTACGAAAACCAGCTCTGACCTTGCCGTAAAACGTTTCAAAAAGGGCCAGTTCTGTTCAGATGGATGTGCGGGGACATCACACAACTGTGCAAAGGCAGTTAAGTTGCTCTGACACAACCCTGCTGGGCCTGAAGCACAAATGCTACTGTGGGCAATTACGGTTTGTAGAAATATGTTCTCACTTTTCTCTATCCAAGTATGGAGGATAACGTACTGAATGTGAAATGGTGGCAAGAGAAAACTATAGGAGGAGCTGACCCTGACATCTGTATTTAACTTAGGCATTTATAAGCAACAGAGAATAGGAGCTGCTTATGGAAAAACTACACCTGCTTAAGTAGGCGGTTTTGCCGTTGTTTGCAAGTGTCTGCTCCAAACCTTGGAGTCACTGGGCATCAGGGAGGTGGCTTTGGTTGATCCCATAAACAGACGAGGTGGCTGAGGTAAGCCCCTGCCGAAAGTCACTGCATAGGTTCAGTGGAGCTTGTTCCGACGGTAGGGAAAATCTCGGAAGACTCCATGTGCACTGAGTATGTACTGATAGTGCAGCAGCAGATGCCCCGTTGGCAGACCTGCCAAGCGTCCCATGGAGCGTGATAGGCTTGCCTCTCCTCTCTCGCGCATCCACGCAGGGCGGCCCGGGTGGAGTGAGATTGGTCTATAAACGCTCCTCCCAAGCGGCTGCTTGGTCACTGACACCGAGAGCAGCCGGTAAGGGTCCTTGAGCCAGGCTGGTGCCGAGGAAGCGACATGAGGGTGATGAAGGCCGCAGGAGACTGGGACAGGGGTACTGGTGAAACAGAGAAGGAAACTGCCTGCCTGGAATGCAGGAGGGTGAGCAGGAGAAGGGGAAGGTGGTCCTTGGAGAATGGAAAAGGAGAAGGAAGCAATGTGATTCAAATGCTGGGGTGAAGGGCGGGGGCAGGAGGAGGGGAAGGTGGCCCTTGGAAAAGGAGAAGGAAGCCACGTGATTCAAATGCTGGGGTGAAGGGTTGGGGGGGGGGAAGAGGGGGCAGGAGAAGCAAGACTGGTACAGTGATCCGTGCAAAATGGAAGAGGAAACAGCCTGACTGGAATGCAGTGGGGAGAGAGCAGCAGAAGAGAGATGGGAGCAGTCATTTTTGCACAATGCAGGCAATTAAGATTAGATGCTCCATAACACAGGTGCTGACTTCTTTTTTTGCTGGTGGATGCTCCTCTCCACCCCCTCCCCACCCCACCTCGGGTGAGCAGTGGACAGGGCCGGGGGCGGGAGAGGCTGAGCGGAAGCAGGGCCTTAAGGAGAAGAGGCTGAGCAGGGGAGAGGTCTCAGGACAGAGCATGGGCAGACCAGGGGGCAGGGCCCACAAAAGATTAATCCAGCTCTGTGGGTGCAGAGCACGTGCTATATTTTTTCGATGGGTGCTTGAGCCCTGGAGCACCTATGCTCCATAGAGCTGCTACAAAAAAAAAAAAAAAAGAAAAAAAAAGAAAGAAAAAAATGGCAGAAAACTCTTCACTGTTCTGCTCTTCCCAGTGCCGCACAAGAAGAGGCTCTGGCAAATCCCTCCCTTTAGGAGAATTGGGGGAGACTCTGCTACAACCTGCTTTGGCTTCCTCCTCCTCGCCTGATGAGGCAGCGGTGTGGGAAGGTTCCTCACCTCTGCCAGGTGACTGTGGCCCATCAGGACCTTTTAAAGAGGATGCTTCTGCTTCAGATATCCAGGCTTTCTATGTGCCCGGCTTTGCTCAGGTGCAGTCAGACGCCAACGGGCGCCCTCTGACTGGCCAGGAGCGCGCACGCAGCATGGTAGGATATGATCATGGAAACAGACTTTTTTCCACTGCTCCTATGCCTCATTCAATCCCTAGATCTTGCAACGAATTTATATACAAATCAGCAAGGTTCAGTACAGGCAGCACGGCAGAAGTGGGTCTTAAATGTGGACAGAGTTGGGACCTTGCAGATAAGATCACACCACACTTACGCACGGTGTAAAGGGCCGGCGTGGGAGGAGGCACAGAGGGGATTGTGTGAGAATCTGAGCAACAGGCGGACAAGGTTGGGAGCGCTGGCCAGGCGGAGGGGACAAGGGCAAGGTAGAGCCTGGCAAAGGAAGAGAAGCAGAGCTTTGAAGGTGGTGACAAGAGGCTGACATTCGATGTTCTATCGAACGGGAAATCAATGAAGCGATCAAAGAGAGGAGTGACGTGATCTTCAAGGGGGAAGAACAGTTCAGTGGCAGCATTTTGTATGGACTGAAGGGGAGCAACGCGTGTCGGGACAGCGAAGAGCGTGTGGCGGTAATCAAGACCGAATATAACAAAGGATGGATCTAAAAGATGCTGAGAAAGAAGAAGTGGGTTTATTTACCACTGGCCCATTCTAAATCCTAACTCTTGTTTACTCTATAGCTATCACTGGGTGGAGCTGCGCCAGTGAAAAATAACAGCTGTGAACGGTGCCAGGGTAGCTGCAGCGGGAAACGTGATGCTCTTTGTGTATTGCACATTGGAAGAGGCCTTGGACACCATTCATATTAAATTTTACACTATAAACCAATACAAGCTCTGTTACAGTACATCAGTTTCCAGTAGCTGTAACTTGCCTTGGGCTATTGCAAATGCATAAACCACAAGGACTTACTCTGCAAAAGAAAACAGGTGAAAGGATAAAATAAAAGGAACCAATTACAGGGCTGTATCTAGAGTCACAGCATTGTAGGGAACTACGTGTACTGGAGTTTGCTCAAAATACACAGTTAAAGTTCCAAAGTCTATCTTGCTCGCCAGCACCTTCCTGTTCTATTTGTATTTTTCCAAAGGATGCTAGAGGGTAGATCCTAGGATCAGTGGTAGGACTTGCCGGCAAAGACATCTGGGTGAGTGGTTGCTCCGTACCTCTGTTATATTTGTAACTAGATTGGGGGGCAGGGCTAGGGGCAGGGGCTGATGAACCTGATCAGTAGGTTGGCAACCTTTCACCTCCAGCCTGTTCTCAATGGCTGCTGTATCCTAAATCCGCTGTAGCCTGGAGCTCACTGGTTTTCTCTCCTGTGTTAAGGGGATGGGGTTTGACTTTCATTTGCTTTTGCTGGCGAGGGTCAGTTAGAGCATAGGCTGGCCTATGTTTTACCATCGCCTTTTTAACGCCTGGCAATTCCTTTGGACCAGGCGTATTCCAGTCCGTGGCTTCTAGAGGAGCTGTTCTTAGCCCCTTTTCCTCTCCGGTGGCCTC